TTCATGTCACTTGTACAACTGTTATGTTTTTAGTGAGGGAGTGTTCTGATTTGCCCAAGGTGGATTTCTGTGTGTTAGTTTTCTTATAAAAAGTTGATTTAATTGCTGTTGTGCAAGTCAGACTGAAAAACAGTTGAAGATGGTAGCCTAACTTTAGTAAAAGTTTGCCAGGATAACCTGTATTGTATTTCCAATCGGAATGAGTGGAAATGTTAAAACCTTTGTAGCAAAGTCTTTTTGAAACAGAATTGCAGGGTATGATAGGACAGCAATTTCTATCCCACCCTCCTTTCTACTTTATCTTTTCTGTACTTCTATTAAAAAAAAAAATACAAATCATGTGCAGGCAATCTTCACCAAGGCATAAAATGAGTTATGTCTGAACTTTTGTGAATCATAAATAGGTAAGTTGTATGCAGTGTACATGTTTGTAAAACTAAAAGATAAAACCACAGAGCTACAAGCCAGCTATTTCAGACTAGATTCAGGGAATGGCTTTCCTAATGCTATTGCTAGTGTTATTTATGATGTTTTTTGCTTACTTAAGGCTTATATCTTACTGAGTCAATGGCTTTGTACTTTTTCAAGCTGGAAGCACTGAAGTCTCTGCAGAGTAGAAACAGTGTTTGGATAAATAATCTGGGATATGACTTTACAACTGTCTGTTAAGCTGTTCCAAGTCCATGCTGCCAACAAGAATTGTGCTCCTGAAAATGTGTTCCTGCTTTCTCCCTTGTACTAGTGTTTGTATAGTCAGTCAGATGTGGGAATTAAATCAGCTGCATTTTTTTTTTTTTTCCTGATTCTGTTTCCAGCTGCATGGGTTTGCAGGCTTGACTTGGTCGTGTAGCCACGAGTCCTAATGTCAGCATTGGAGATGAAGAAGAAATACTGGGTGCTTTCGCAAGTGATGGGACTTGCTATTTCAGCAGCAGTGCAAACTTAAACTGGCTTATGTCACTGTTTAAAAAGAAAGAAAAAGAAAAGGGGAAAAAAATTTCCCCAGTCAAATTCTCTTTCACAGCTTATACTCCATAGTGGGATTAAACTCTGGAAACTTTTTTTAACCAAAGAGACTACAAGTTATTAAATGCTACCAATACTTCAGATATTGTTGGGATGCTGTAATAATTGCCACGTTTTTCCAAGTCACTTTTATTTTGTTTTCATTCATTGAAATTGTGCTCACTGAAGTGCATGTGATTCTGGCCTGGAAGGGTTGGAAAGAAGCCTAGTTACAGGAAAAAACAGTGAGTCTCATTTGGTGAATTAGTTAATACTGATAGCAATTACCTGGTATGTCATCAGAAACTGTTTAATATGCTAGTCAGTTTTCTTGTTTGTTTTTTTTTTTTTTTATCAGAGTAGCTTGAATAGTATAAATGCTCAATTTATAGATCTACTTACAAAGTACTTAACACATAGTAATAAAATCAGCATTTTATAAAATATAAGTTGTGGAAGAAGGCAGCAGTTTGAGGAGGTCAGAAACAATCTGATAGCTTGATGCCCCCAAAAGGCTAGGTCATTCTTTGTGTTCCTCCTTCTGGCACTTGATCTGACTCCTTGTTGGGCTGATTCTGACCCTAAGCTGTCAGAAAATAACTTGTTTTTTGCTGATGGATTAATCTCCTGCCGGTTTGGTGCGCTGAATGAGCCCACAGGGCCAGGGCGAGTGGCAGAGGCGGTGGGAGGAAGCTGGGTTTCTGTGCTTGTGGTCTGTTAGATTGATTTTTTTTCAGAACACTTTCTTTCTTTTTTTTTTCTTTTTTTTTTTTTTTTGGTTGGAGGATGGAAAGGGGCTGTTTCGCTTTCCCTCTGAGCGGATTCCCAGCACGCACCTCCCCTTCTGCCCCCCCCCCCAGCAGTGATCCTGTGTGGTGATCGTGTGCTTTGGGGGGAGAGAGGCAAAAGCTGTGATTTCTCTGTCGGATCAATTGCTAAACTCAGTGGTAGAGAGGTTGGAGGAATGTAAAGTGAGCACAATTGCACCTTGAGTAAATCTGACTGTAGATTTGATAATGTGTAATGTGAGGCTGCACCTTTCTTCTGGAGAACAAGTGGAAATACATTTTATAGGAACTCGGGATTTAAAAAACACTCATAATTTTATTTGCCTCTATCTTACATTTTAAGTAGCTGAAATCTGTAACCTGTATTCCCATGAGGAAAAACTGGATCTGAGAAGTGCAAAGGACCCGTAGTCCTCCCTTACATACCTTACTGCTGGTGCTGTCCATGGAAACCTCTTCTATCTACTGCCCCCAAAATAACCCTGCTGCTGTGATGTTCCCTGCTTATAGAGTAGATGACTGTAACGCATCTTTATGAATGTGCCGAGAGGTGTTAAAAATGTCATCCCTACAGTATTACACGTTGTTCTTAATATGCTTAAAGTGTGGAAAGAATAATTTGGAAACCACAAGCCTTGGACTTCAGGGCTTCCACCTGAATTCCGGTAATGCCTGATGAAGGGGAAGAACTGTTGGTAATGATCAAGGGATCCGGTGGTTTTTAAAACCTACACTCCACAAATCCAAGGTTAGAAAAAATAAATAAATAAAATGGTTCTTTGATAGTGAACACTTGGTCTTGATCTGCTTAGCAGCAGTGTTTGAACATAGGTAGGGTAAGGAAGTTTGTTTTTTCTTCTCTCTTCTTCCACGTGTCATGTCAGGAGCCTCCTTTGGCGTGTTTAAAAAAAAACAACTAAAATTCACAAAGCGAAAGAACAAAAAGTAGAAAAAGAAAATTTATTAAGAATAACAAAACAAGACAGTAGAAACTCTCCAATTTCAGGGAGCTGTGGGGGTGGCTTGCGTGACCCTTCGATGGATGTCAGTGTAATGGGGCGTAAACGGCGTTTGGAGTGCTGCAGGCTCCTGGTAGTTGAAATTTTGGGTAAGGAGGATTTCCTGGCAGTTCAGGTGGGGAGGTTAACAGCTTTGAAATTCTACAGGTTATTACCAGTCTTAGTAATATCCGGAGCAGGTGAGGTACAATGAATTCCTTTGAGGCTGGAGGTAATAAAGAAGTGGCGTAATCCTGTAAAATGTGGTAGATTGAAGAGAGAGGTTTTGAAGAAGGATGATCTGGAAACAAAATGTTGATGTTTAAAAAATGGGAAATGTTGTAGAGCCCAAAGGAACTGGATGTATATAAGGCAGCTGTTGAATTTCCTGATTTAGGTAGATAGGTAGTTGTCTTAAGGTTTGGTTTTTTTCTTCCTAAATTCCTTCTCAGCTCCTAGGTGTCCAGTTTCCACATCAATCTTCATACAGCAAAGATAATTCTAAAAAATGTATCAAATAGATGAAGACTTCACTCATTAGGCTTAATGCTAATATCATTTCTCTACTGATTTCTTCAAAGCTTACTGACTTCTAAAAACTCTAAAAGGGGTATAGGGTGTGTTTATAGGCAAGGTCCTCCTTGCTGCTTCCCTCCCCTCCTGCATTTCTTGTGTCCTTCTCGGTATTAGACCGCTCTTAGCTGGACATGGGTCCTTCTGTCTGGCCTGAATCTGTCAAGAGGGTTATGTTTTGCGAGCACAAGTATTTTTTGTCAAATGAAGAACAGCCTTAGTTTTGTTTTTTAGCCCTTCTTCAATCTTACTTCGTCTTAAGTCTTTAAAAAAAGAGTTGAATTCTGGCTAAATTAATGTGTTCACTCAGAACTTATCTCCATGGAGTGTTTTCATTTGCAGGTAGTAATGCGTTTAGGTTAAACTTGTTATTTCTCACTTAAATTAGTTCTCAATATTTGCACTGCCCTTTGCGGGGTTGGCTATGAGGTGGCAGTAGTTCACAACACCTCCTTAAATGTTTTGAAGGAGAAGAATATGGCTTTGATTCTGTTGCTTTTAGTATTAATTGAAAATCTGCTTTATCCTGCAAGTTGTGTCCTGCCCCGCCCCCCCCGGTATTGTGCGGTAGGCAATTGTACATAGTTAAACTTTATTTTAAGTTGTATGGTGGTGGTTAAAGCACAATTAAATTTTGGGTTAGCAAATGAATTTCTGAATGCTTAGTACCGAATGCCTGTGAAGTTGAGTGTTCAGGTTTAAGAGATGTTACAAAGATAAACCAAGTGATTTTTGAGACAAAACTGGTACTCCGGTGTCGTTAGCAAGCGTTCCTGATCAGAATTGAAGAAAATTTAGAATTGTTTGTGTTGAATTTTAATTATTCTTTATTATCTTGAGATAAAGAATAGCTTCTAGTGTGTCCAGACCAAGTGTTTAAGCCATGTGACTGATGTTAAGCATCATACTGATGGGGGGGGTGTGTGTGTGTGTGTTGAAAATGCTAATTAGGTTGTCATTACTAAAGGTGATTATAAGTAAATAATAGAGTAGATTGGGGGTATTATTCCAGAGCAGTGTTTGAGTGTGTTGCACAGAATTGCTTTTTCAGTCGGTGGAAAATTACGGTTCTCTTGGAATCACAAAACCTGCGTATGTAATCACACTTGTGCAGGCAGACGAGGTGTGAGTGTGCTCATAAACCTTCAAACTAGACCTTCTAAACTGTAAGAAATGCCCTAAAAAGTAACTAATTGTAAGTGAACGAAAGACCGACCGCCCTATGCTTTCTGCATTCAAAAAAACACATCAGTTAGTCGGCTCTGGCGCAGTAGGGACCTTGCTTAAGTCACTTGTTGATTTTTGTCTAAGTATGTGGCTGACAGTGCAAAGTATTTTGAGTTTCCTAATGCTAGAAATCATTAGTAGATATTCAGTTGATCCACCGTGCGTTTGCAATATATTAAATACAGGCATAAATAGCGAATTCAGTTACTTAGTACTAAGTTAAACTGAATTGACTGAATCTGTTTATAAAATAGTAGGGCATTTGGTAGATTCCATTCTTGAACTGCATATATAGTAAAAGTCCACAAAAGATTTTTTTTCTAGTTTCAGTTTTGGCACTAGATTTTATCCTGGAGTTTTTAAATATTCTTCATCCTGTTCTTTTTCTATTAAGGTTAATGTTGAAGAAGGAAAATGCGGAAGTCGCCATTTGACAAGTTTTATAAATGAGAATTATTTGAAGCTCAGGAATAAGTGAAGCTGAAATTTGAAAAAAAAGAAAGTGAATGCATGCTAATTATCAGACCAGAAGTCCCACTTGTAGAATATTGAGCAATTTGTGTGAAGTGGGGAAGATGAAAGAAGTCAGAATTTGAAACGGAAGAATGAAGAAAAGGAATAAAAATGAAGTTAAGATAAGAAGTAATCTGGAATCTGAAAGCACTACGCTAAGTAATTACTAGTCTGTTTATGTGTCCCTGTATATTTTGCTAAACATGCATGCATTATCTGTTTAATAGCAAAAGTATATGCAGGGTAAAGAAGTGTCTACCAGGGAAAAAAAAAAAAAAAACCTTCTTAAAAATCTAGGCAGTTCTAATGCCAACTGCCCGGACACATAGATATGAATTTTTACCATTTATTTCACTGGAGCTTGTTTACAGACCTTAGGTAAACGAGAAATTGTGTACAAATTAGGCTTTCGATATCTGCGTGCAGGAATCCCGTTCTGCTTCCAGAAGCGGAAGTGCTCATGGGTCTGGCAAGTCGGGGAGGCACACCCCTGCAAGATCTCGATCTAAGGAGGATTCCAGGCGTTCCAGGTCAAAATCTAGATCCAGGTCTGAATCCAGGTGAGTTTTACTTCTTTTACCTCTTCCTCCTCTTCACAAGTCAGCTCATGATGATGTCAGGGGTGAACTGAAGTCCGGTTTAGCCCAGTTCTGTTTCCAGACATAACTGGTGATCTGTGGACAGTGAATACAAAGGGGCACATGTGGTTTCGGCATTCGAAAAGCTGAACTAGCGAGTTAGATCTTTTTGCAGTTTTTTCCAAGAGGTGGTTGGCTACGTAGGCTTGTATCTCTGCTGAGACGGTTTGGAAGTGGCCTGCCTTTTAAGTCTTAGAATAATGGCTAATTTCTGAGCGTGAAGCATTAGGAGCTCTAGGTCTTAGTTTTTCTGTGCCTTAAAAGAAATACGCTCATCAGCAGATTTTCCATTTTAGGTACCATTAATGTATTGCGTTTCCTCACTGGAAGCAAGGATGTTTCTGGAGTAGTTAACCGTATATTCCATGAAAAAGGGAATGGTAGAGATAAATATGAATTTCAAGACATCTGTCTGACTTTTGAAAAGTATATTTTATTTGAAAACTAACAGGCTGGGAAGCTTTAAAGATTAGACAGCTTTCCAAGCTCTCAAAAAAAAAAAAAAGTGGAGAAAGCAGCTTTGCTTACTGTACATCTGCGTTGCCACGTAACAAGTACACTATGTATGTACACTATGAAAATGCCTTTTCCACTGTAGCCCTATACTCATCTGCTAAACAAACTGTGTGCAGTGACAGAATTCCTCTCGAAACTGTTAAGAGGCATAATAGAGGCATAAAATATGCTGGTAGTCTAAAAATAAGACTATAAACGTCACTGCTGGCCACTTTACATTGGCTTTAGCAGGTGTGTCATGTAAGAAGTACATATTTAATAAAGAATGAATAGAGAAGGAACAAAACCTGTAAATTGGTGAATGATGTTATTTTCTTTAGAGTCTAGATAACTGAGTGCTGACAACGGAAATGAATGTGTTGATAGTTCCTTTACTAATTTCTAAGCATTCGGGTTAAAAAAAAAGTGGCTTTCAGCTGTGGAGCTTCCAGTTGAGCTGTTAACAGTATACTTTTTATGTGTATAAGCAATGAATTAGGCTTGCCAAAGGTCAGGCTGGAGGAGGGATGACAAGTCTAGAAGATAATTGTGCTATTAGCAGTCACCCATGACAGAAATCACTATCAAATACTGTGTTTAGGTCTCCTTGCCGGATCGAAATGATCAGTTTGAAAGGCTTTTGTGAGAAGGAAAATCCCTGGGAAACGTTGACAGCAGAGGAATGGGCTTGGTTTTTCTGTGGACTACAGGCACGAGTGTCAAATCATGCATTTGGCAACCCCTGTAGTGCAAGAACAGTATGTCAAATTAAATGAATAAGTACTTCATAGAGTAATATCACCGTACAGAGTGTGAAACTGGAGTGTCCTCTGGAAGTGCTGGTAGTGAGATGTGCATAGGAAAGCTCAGGAAGGTCCAACACCCTGCGCGAGGCAGAGTCAGCTCTGGGCTCAGACCATGTTCTCAGGGCTTTATCCAGTTGTGTTTTGAAAATCTCAGAGGATGGAGACTGCACAACGCTTTGGGGAAACATTTTAATTTTAAAATAGCAGTCAAGTCAGGACCTAGCCCAGCATGTCCTGCTGCACCTTATCCATAACCCCTAGGGATTCCATACTCTAAAGCACCGTGTTTCTCACTTGCAGAATAACCATGATAAGAATGCAATCAAAAATTGTATAAAATGCTGGAAGAAGCGAATTCAAGATCTAGAATTTACAAGAAACCTGGCAAATCGTTTACTCTTACAAGAAATCACCCTTTAAATAATACCCTGGCAACCAACTTCTTACTTTTTGATGAACAAAAGCAGAAGCTTATGACTACCACGGCTTCCTGAGCATTTAACAGCTATCTTGAAAATGCCTATGGCTGGAAATACTGGAAGGATGTAGCAGAGTCAGTGTGTTCATTAGCGGATTTGGGCAGAATTGTGTCAAGGCACATATTTAGAACTGTCATACTTACCTGTTTTCAGTCCTGTCACATGTGTAGATGTGATCATGAGCAGGTCTTCAACTCTGGCTCTCACTAGAGAAATAACCTTGTCAGAACCTCAATATTTCTTGATAGTTTCTGTTGCAAATGTATTTTTGAGTTACCAGCTTTATAAATTAAACTTTGATTTGGGAACGAATCTGTGTCCTGGCGTATTTATCCGTTGGGTTGTGGATATACTGGATTTAAAAATCTGCTTTTATTGAAGTTTTCCATCAGCAGCATAGCAAGCTTGTTATCTCCGGCTGACTCTGTGAAGTCTAAACAATTCTGAAGGAAGGAATAGGATTTTCAGCTGTGGTGGCTTTGCAGCGAAGGAGAATAATGGCAGTGTGACATTTCAGGCATCAATATAAGCAGTGCCTGTTTAAAATAAGCCTTGTTCTCTCACATAATAGATTGCCTGGTTTAGAAGTGTCCAGCTTTTGTTCAGTGTAATGGATACGGTCTGGAACCTGGAACATCAGTTCTGTGTTTGCCTTAAGTTTTGGGTTTTTTTCCCTATGTCAGTGGTTGAAATGTGGCTGTATGCATGTGTTGAACTTATTTTTCTTTATCATTATTATTTATTTCTTTGCTATCTTTCCTAAGTTTCCTAAGTTTGGGTTTTGTGGTGGTTTGGGTTTTGTTTTTTTTTTTTTTTTTACTTTCTGTTGCCAAAAATAAGTTATTCTTTCTAAATACATAGAAGTGTTGTAATGCGACATGCTGAAGTCATTTCTCCTGGACATGTATATGTGCTTCAAGTTGAGGAAGGCAGAACTTAGCTGGCTCAATTCTGACGAGGTTGAAGGCTTTTTTCTTTTTTTTTTTTTGTTTTTAATTTAAGGAGGTCCGTAATGTACAGAGTATATCTGGTACGGTTTGGCTGTCTGGTGACACTTAGTGAGAAATCCTGACCGTGGAAAGCTGTTAAATGCTCAGGAGTAAAAACAAGTTCAGGTTAAGAGCTTCATTCACGCCAGCGTAGTGGTGGTGTTAACGTGAAACACGGTTGTGCAATGACGGTGGCTTTTGGTCTTGGTCAGTACTTACTACCTGGGCTTCCACAAACTAGAGGAAGGAGATTTAAAGCACCAAAAAGAGTCTGCAGATTAACACTTTATGACTAAGGGCCTTTGAATATTAAAACTGTTCATTGCGGTTCTTAGCCTCGCAGCGATTTTCCTTGTAGATGTGTGTGGAATGCAGGTTATTCAGTGACTGCCATCAGGAGGTGAAGCTCAGGTGTCATACTCCAGTTTAGGTGCCTGCCCAGCTTTTCAGCTAAGGCTGTCTGTCGGGAGGGCCGAGGGTTTAGTAGAAGGAATTGAAGTGTTTCAGGACCTCACCTCCACAGACCTAGTGCTGTCAGAAAACATTTCTGGAACTGTTCTGAGGAGGCCTGGGCTGAAATTAGTGAGCAGTTACACCTTTGCCTAAATACACTTGAAGTGTGAACATGTAAACATTCACAAACAGCTAATGTTAAATCACGGTTGAAATACCAGAAGGTAAATAAGTACTAGGGCTTAATTTCTTCAGGTGTGTTAAGCTCTGTTTCAGGGGCATTTGCCAGACTTGTGCTTGTAGTTGTGCACTGTGTAAAAAGTGTATTTGCTTTTCAGTGTCACTGAAAGCAGTGCTGTTCTGACTGCTAGAATAAGCAGAAGTGTATGCTTTATGTTAAGTCATATTTACTCCTGTTCCCTTTTTCTGTTAAGTCTTTATAAGAAAGCCACCCCACCTGTTTTTACTTGAATGCTGTGAATATTCTAGGCATATACTGTGTCAAATCAAGATAGCTTTGTTAGGGAAAGTTAAAAGCTAACTGAAATGGAAGTTGAGGTTCCTGTTCTGCAGTAGAAATGCTCTGAGAGCATCTACAGTAATCTAATTGCAAAGATTTAGCACACAGGCCTTGAGAATAGTGACTAAATTGATTATAGCTGAATCACGTGGTACTGCAGGTTTTTAGAAAATGTTTTTTGGGGCTTTTTGTTTGTGAGCATCTGACCTATTTTTGACTGGTTAAAAAACCCAAACAAACCCAACACTGTACCTTTTTTTTCTTTTTTCTTTTTTTTTTTCTCAGATCTAGATCAAGGAGGAGTTCCCGTAGGCACTACACGAGATCACGCTCTCGTTCCCGCTCTCATAGGAGATCCAGAAGTAGGTCTTACAGTCGGGATTATCGGCGACGACACAGTCACAGCCATTCACCCATGTCTACTCGCAGACGTCATATTGGAAACAGGGTATGTCTGTTAGAAAAGCAGATGACTCATATGTAGTCCTGAATACATCCTGACATCACTGAATTAATTCATTGGGGTTTTCCAGAAAAACATTCTGCTTCCAGCTCCAGTCTATTTAAAAGATATAGTTGAGGTTAATTGTCATCTGGCTTTTGCGAAGCCGTGGCTCTCCACAAGTTTGCTTAGGATTGTGGGGTGGGGGTGTCTTATTTATTTGTCTTTTAACAGATGCCTGTAGAAGTGCTGTCAGCACGGGCTGATGTCAGTATACCTGCTATGATCAATGAGCCAATGTATGCAGTGAAGGGTGGGGGTGGAATTATGTGCTGTAATGTCATTTGTACAGTGCCCTGGCTAAGTATTTTTGTGAAAGGAGGCTTGTGTACCTGTAGGTTTGATTGTAATAGTGTCTACTAGCAAGTTAACCCAGCCTGAATCTCAGCAGTATCTTCTTCTTGTTTTGTCTTGAAGCTCTTGACAGTCACAACTTGGGAAATAACCTTGTACTGCAAATACAAGCAATTTTATTCTAATACCTTATTTATCTGTCCCTTCCTGTAGGCAAATCCTGACCCAAATTGTTGTCTTGGTGTGTTTGGATTGAGTCTGTACACCACAGAAAGAGATCTGAGAGAAGTTTTCTCCAAGTATGGTCCAATTGCTGATGTTTCCATTGTATATGATCAGCAGTCTCGGCGTTCCAGAGGATTTGCGTTTGTCTACTTCGAAAACGTTGAGGACGCTAAGGAAGTAGGTTGGGGTACAGAACGTATGGCGTGTTTGCTGTGTTCTCGGTTGCTGGGGTGTATATTCTGTAACGGGATATAGCCTGAGGAAGCTCACCTTTAAAATGGTGTTAAAACATTAATGCCTTTTGACTATATGAAATAATCATAATGCAAACTAGTCCACAGTATCTTCCCTGCCTTCTTGGGGGCTAAAAAATATTTAATAAATGTCAGTGTCTTAATCCAAAAGATACCTACTGTGTGTGAGAGGTCCGTGAATACTGGTCCCTGTGCAGGCTGAGCTGTTGTGTAATTCACAGAAGCAAACTTTGGGCTAGCCAGCCATACTGCAAACTACGCCAGCAGGGAAAAGAAAATGGAAACACAGGCTCTCTGTTTTAATTAAGAGATGAGCGTTCCTTCCTAACTCAACATGTGATCTTGTATGTAATAACAGGCATGTTCAGAGCGGAACAGACAGCCATTTCAGAGCTCTCTCCAAGAGTGCTAACGTGCATTCTGTTGACTTCTAGTGCTTCGGTCTGAAAGGGGTGGGGGGGAAATCTTTTCTGAAAATAAAAGGCCAGGCTGTACGTGGCTTCCTGGTTCCTGCAGATCTCCATGAGAAACCCCAAGAGATTCAGTAAATTGAAGCAGTGTCAATACAACAAATTACAAGACTTCTGCTTACAAGTGCTACAGAATGAACAGGGAATTCTCTACTTGAGAGGTATAGAATCCTACACTCGGGGCTAGCCCTTGGAGAGCAGCGTGCTTATGGGCTGTAATTAGGCTCATATTCTGCATCCATTCCACTTCTTCAAGTCTCTCGTGTCAACTTTTCCAAATTTGGACTGAAGGCTTCCATGTTAGGTTGGAGCTTTGAATGTAGGTCCTGCTACTTGGCAGAAAAAAACCCATGGTTTGGGTTTTTTTTTACTTAGTTGTGACTCAGATATTACTATGTTCAAAGTTATGGTGCGTTTCAAAGATTTATTGGAGGAAAAAAGACTTAAGAGTGCTCTTTTGTTAACTTCTAAATGCTTTGCTTCACGTTGTGCGTTGGAGTAGTTACATGTCCCTACATAAGCACGTTCAGGGGTTCCTCTTGATCATGCTAGAAACAGAGGTACTGAACAATTGTGAAATACTGCACAAAAAGCCCGAAAGGACCATAATGAGTCACACTTAAGGTGGTCACTGAAGCTTATATCCAGCTGACCTAGAATGTCTTACAGTTTGTGTTCAATGTTACATATAAGGCTTAAGGGAAACTTAGACATGCATCCTAACTGAGCCATTTTAGGACTTCTCTTAATACGTGAAGCAGTGGTTAGAAACTTGGTAATAAAGTTCGTACCTACAGCTAATTGTATTTTATCACTCTGTTTAGGCAAAGGAACGTGCCAATGGAATGGAGCTGGATGGAAGAAGGATCCGGGTAGACTTCTCCATAACAAAAAGACCTCACACACCTACCCCTGGAATCTATATGGGAAGACCCACTTAGTAAGTTACCTCCGTGGGTTTTTTTTTTTTTCCAAACCGGTATGGGATAGGATTAGTTGTATTGTGTTTTGTTAAAAACTATTCCGTATCCCCTCTAAGAGACCCGATTCTGTGTGGCTTTCCTTCTCCTTAGCAAGAGCTGTGCTAACACTGATGTGGTTATCTGGGAAAGCTTCTGAAAACTACAAAAACTCAACTGATAAAGAAGGCTCTTCAGAATTTAAAAAAAAAAAAAAAACTACATGCAGCCAGCCATTAATATCTGCCTATCTTTGCAGCTGTTTGGGTAGGAGGAGTTAATTTATATAGCACGTGCCTGTGACTGCGCTAGGGTCAGCCTGGATTCCAGTGAGCAGAAACCTGGGTTCCTTAGTTATGCGGCCCAGACCTGAGCTATCTAAACGTTTAAATAAACCCACAGTAAGATTTTTTTTTGACAACTTCTTAATTATTTTAAGTACCTTCAAATACTAATGTCACTTGCAAGCTCAAGTTTTCAAGAGTGAATTAACAAATACCAGTTGAGCGGCTGTGTGGCGCAGTTTGCCTGATTCACAGAGAACACTTTTGACTTAAAATTGCCAAGCATATAAATTGTTTTCCAAAGACTTTCAGCTAAGCTACTGGTTATGTAGTTGGTGTTGTGTTGAGACTGCAGGTTTGTTTTGGTTTATTTGTTTGTTTTTTTTTAACGGGAGAGTTCTTCCAAAAGGAGCTTTCTGAGAGTTAAAAGTGAATGAAGAGTTGTCACAGAATGGAATTTCTCATGTGCCTGTAATACCAAAAGGTTAAGAGGTTTCAGACCAAGGAGGAAAGTAATTGTCTTAAAAGCTCGAGCATTTTAAAAAGCAGTTATTTAAGTAGTTCTGTTCCCACCTGCACTGATGGGAAAGTAGGAGTGCTCACAGTCATTTCAACTGTGAGGACATGAGGCAATAATATAACCCAGTTAAAATGGTGTATACTTGACTGACTGTACACCTACTGAAAAGCACTGCAAACAATGTTTTATATTTTATTAAATGTAATTCTTTTTCACTGCTTGTAGTGGCAGCTCACGACGACGAGATTACTATGACAGAGGGTACGATAGAGGGTATGATGATCGTGACTATTACAGCAGATCATACAGGTGAGACAATATTTGTAATATCCAACTATTTTTTTAAACCATGCTTTCTCATCTACATTTCTACCTATGTGTTACGCAGTTCGTCCTACATATGTATGCCAAAATAGTTCATTCTGGAATCTTATTGTGAAATCTTTACCAAAATGACTGCTCAGTACAAATTAGATTGGTCAGATTGAGAAATACTTTGTGTTTAATCTGTGGCATGAGTTAGTCCATAATGTTTTGGGTTTTTTTTTTTAATCTGCATCAAGTTTTGAAAAACAAAGTCTGCTCTCTGTATTCTTTTGTTGGTTCATCTGTTAGCATTGAAATGGTGGGAACAGAGGTGCAGATCTAATATTTGAGTTGGTATTACCGTGCCAATTTATATTTTCAGCATAGTGTAATAGAAAAAAAGTGAGATGTTTGTGGTCACCAGTATCCCCTACTAATAATTATGGTACCTCAAATGTTGCCAAAAATAAGGAATTGGGGATTAGTACATTACATGTTCTCTATTGGATATTTGCATAAAGAAAGCTTTTTCAACTTACTCTGTTGGGTTGGATGTGTGTGTTCTACTTAGGACTCACACCTATTTCTGTCTGTCTTCAGTCTAAACTTCTGTGTTCGACAGCCTAGTAATTAGCTGGAGGAGGTGAATATTCAGGTGGCAAGACACATTGTCAAAGGACTGGTAAAGGTGGTACAAAATCTATTGAAAACATGGTATGTAATTGGTTTTGGTGCTAGAGCAAGTTTGTCTTGTGCATTTTCCGTTAAGACTGCTGACAAGGCTTAACCCCTGTGAAATCCTCACAATTTCTGGGATGCTATTAAGTTCAACACGAGTTCTTTTTTTTTTCTGTCTGCAACTACCAAAAGTTCCTGTAGTTGTGGGATTCTAGATAAGTATTTCTGAAGTGATTTGCAAAGATAAAATGCATCAGCAATGGGTGGTGCTGTGATTGTTCCCTGATGACAACCATGTATTCATGGAAATAGATGAATTAAAATTGTATTATCACATTACGTCTTAAAGACAAAGGAAATGATAAACTCTGTGATCTTAGCTTTCAGTGTACTCCTCTGTTGCTTCTTAGGTGTAGAAGAAAATGCCGTCTTTATACTTACACTGACAGCTGTATGGCCACTGTCCGTGACCGAGGGCAGCTGTCTCCTCCTTCTTCTCCTACTGCTTTCAGCCACTTTTTTTTTTTTATCCTTCCTGGGCTGTTGGCATTGCTTCCAGTCTGTTTCTTCCCTCCCTGCCTTGCTGTTGTCACTTAAATCGGGTGCCTTGCTTCTACAGCTCTTAAATGCTGCTGTGGACAAGGGAGGGGATCGAGGTGCTCCACATCGTTGCAGTGAACACACTTTCACAAGTGTTCTGCTTGCATTTCTGGGAAGCAGTCATTAGTGTACTTCTGCCTCTTGGCAGTCCATTTTCTTGAAACATCAGGAGCTTTGAATGTTTTTGGAGAACTGTAGCAGCTAAAATCTGAAGTTGATACTGGGCATACAGGAGTGAAGATGCGTTGGCCTTCGCCTTGCCAGCACTTGTACGTAGGCTTTCATGTAGGGTAGATGGCTCTTTGTCCAAACTTCCAGTTTGTTTTGGAGCACGAGGAACAAAAACTTGCTTGGGATAGTTAACATAGCCTTGTCTCACTTCATGTTCTAAAGGTAATTAACTGAAACGTAGTGGGTAAATTAACTGAAGCAGCTTGCCAGAGTGTTGGGGAACAAAAAAGACTCGCAACGTAGCCTGCTAAGCAGTCTGTTAAGTGGTGCTTCTAGCTTGCTTCTCCCACTTTCCATTGGGGTTCTGATGTAAACAAAATGGCAAAGGCACTTAAGGACCAGAGAAATGCGGTGTTTGGTCTTTATTCTTGCAGTTCTTCAGAGTACTGATTTCCTTATTCTCTCATCAAGGGTCAGTGAAGGTGTACTGGTTGTCCCTGAAATCTGTTTGTTGCTTGTGTGTTCTTAAAATGTAATTTATTCCTTGTTTAGATCGCGGCATGACCTTAAGTCTTTAGTGCTTGAAGTGTTACCTTTTTTATTCCTGATAGTGAACAGTGGCTCAGATGTTTTTAAAAACATTATCAGAAGTTGTTCTGGGTGTGCGCTAGCGAGAATAGTTGCAGATTGTGATAGTGACTAAGTAAGAAGTGGTGTGAGAAGATGGACTGCTTCAGTTAGTGTAGTGTGTTGGAATTCATGGCCGTGCTTCGGTCCAGCTCTTTGAGACAGCCACGTGCTGGGAGATGTTCTGACCTTCCTATGTGCTCTCCCATCCTGTGTCTGTTGTGAACTAGGGCTTTCAGGGTGGAAAATACTCAAAATATTGACAATTCAGCAAGGGTGACTTCCATTTCCTATCTTAAAAAAAAGGGGGGTGGGGGAGACACCCCACAGAAACCCCACACCCCAATGTTTTAAAGCTCACAGCAGAACCTTTATAATGTCTTTTCATAGCAGATATTGAGAGAGTGAAAAGTAAGGCGCAAATGGTTTGTGTGTGGCTACTTTAAAAATATCCTGGTCTGCCCCGGTTAGATACCTACTTTCTCGTCCTGCAGATATTGCTCATTTGAGGGGGAGAAAAGAAGAGTGTTGTGTATGTTTTGAGTCCTTCCTTGGGGAAGGGAAAGTTAGAACTGTTGAAAAAGCAGTAAAGCATTGCATAGTAGTACTCCACCCTAGAAAATCAATTGCTAACAATTACTTTACCGTCCTTGCCCTCTGTGCAATGAAGCCTTAAGGGAAATGCAATTTCAAATGGGAATTGTCATGTTAAAACTTTTTGATTTCTCCGCATTGCTGTGGGAGGCTTATATCTTGGCTGGAAAAGTATCTGTAAACTGAAGAATGACCTTAAAAACCCAACTTGCACAGTGGCTATCTACCAAAGCGAGAAGATTTTAAAGAAAAACAAAATAAAAAAAGGAGGCCTGCTGATTGAAAGTGTGGTGTGGTGTTTGGGGGTTCTTTGTTCATATGTTCTCTCTTCATATGATTTACGGCCTTTTTGAGCTGCTGTGAGACATCTGCAGCAGCGACTGTTCCATAATCCAAACTCTGATTGAGTCTCCTCCTGATAATGTTTTACCGTATCTAAATCTGGGGAGGTACCGGCCCAACCACTTAATATTGTTAAATACCATACTGTATTGTTTCAGTTCTAGGCAGCTTCCCTATAAGGAGAAGTTGTACCTCAGTTCTTAAACGCCCTTGTTTAAACATGATTGTGAAGTGTTAAAATGTAAGAGAGTGGGGTTTTCTCTCTGCCTCCACCTTGGAATCCGATTTTTCCTCAGGACAGGAAATTGCTACTTTAAAAAAAAAAAAAAAATAAAATAAATAAAAATACAAAGTTGATTGCCTGAAGTGGGTAAGCATCTGAGAATAGAAATAGTCTTAGAAGCAGAGGGTGTGCTAATCTTAAAATGTTCCTTGTTGGCGCGTATGATACTGTAAAATCCAATATTGGTCAGCTGGAACGTGAGTCCTCTTTAACTGCTCCTTGACACCAAGTTTAACCAGCTCATTCCAGGAATAAAAATGAAGGTAATGAAGTAATTAAACATTATCCAGTGTAGGAATCAACATGTTCTTGTCTTCACATCATTTTCCTATGCTTGATGATGCTTCTTGCTTGTACAGTGAACTTTTTGTTTATTTTTAAAATTTTCAAATGTCATTCTGCTTTTGTATTCACAGAGGAGGTGGTGGCGGCGGTGGAGGAGGATGGAGAGCTGTTCAAGACAGGGATCAGTTTTACAGGTATGATAGGAAAACTCTCAGTGTCTGGTCGACAGTGGAAATAATCTTGCAGGAGAAATTTTTTTAATATTCTCTGAATCATGTCTAGGATATCTTTAAACACATTAATAGAAGCTGGGTGGATGCTGAGCGCTTGCGGCGCTTTAGCAAGCAGTGCAGTTCACTTCAGAGGTTCCCTCATTGCCATGTAAAGGGCTGAGATTAGTATAGGGACAGCTAGTGCAGCTTTGCACAGGGAAAACTGTGACTTATGCCGAGAAGTCAATGTCCTGAATGTTTGGGTGTGTTTGGTTGTTTTTGGGTTTTTTTTTATTATTGGGGGATTAGTGGAATTAGGCAAGGAAATGCAAAACTGGCGAGTGCCTGGGTTGGAGGGGCTTGGGGGTGGGGATGGTTGTAGCAGTGACTGCTACTCAAATCAACGCTTCACCTCGGAACAGATAATTTAGATTCAAAGTGAAGGTGCGCGATGTGGCTTACACTGCATGTTTGGGGTGCTCTCGGCTTGAAACTCTGAAGCTGCAGGCAGCCAAATTGTGAATGCAAGAGAGCTTATATTTCTTTTATTGGTCCAAAGTAATACTACTATGACCCGGTAATAAAAAGAGTATTAAGACAATTCAAATCTTTGCTTTGTTAGCCGGTAGATACGGTGATCAGGTATTTATGTGCTCGTTAGCTTTCCCAAGTACGCTCTTCTGTACGCTGCTTGATCGGGTTAGAGGTATCCACGTAAAGCTGCTGCCACTCATCTGCCACGGGCATTAACGAAGGGATTGTTTCTGTTGCCATCTTTCACAGGAGGAGATCGCCATCCCCATATTACAGCCGAGGGGGCTACAGATCTCGATCCAGATCTCGATCCTATTCACCTCGTAAGTAGCCGTAGAGCTCGTATATCAAAAGCAAATTTCCGCTTTGCCTGAACTTCTTCCTTTGTGGTTTTGCATCCATAAAGACTATTCGACTTCACTGTGGTTATTTTTATTATTTTTTTTTTTTAACCACAGTCCCTTTAATGTTTCAGTGAGCAACTGGTAACTTTGAGGACAGAGCAAATATTTAGTTTGCAAAAAAGTAAACTAGGTAATACCACTTGTTGGGAGAAGAAGAAAAAAAAAAAAAAAAGTCAGAGGTGCAGTTTCTTTCTCCAAAACGCTTTGAAAACAGGAGTTTGTAGTATGCCGACAGTTTGGGTACCTCTAGGACAGCGAGGCCAAATTCCCAAGCCTCACGCCTTCTAATGCTGAAACTAAATTTCCCAGTGTAATTTGCTAAAGAGGAAGCTAACTTCACCTGACGTCCAAATAGTGCTTTTTTTTTTAAATTTTTTCCATACTTATTTGCATGGAAGATAAAGCTGCATTTTGATGGCAGCCAGTTAGTAAACCACAATAGCATTCCTGGCGTATTGCCTTTGTAAGGGAGTGAATGAATAGGTTGTGTTCTCGTGTTTACCCTTTGTGTCCGAAGGAAAACAAGTGTAACCGCTTTTACTGAGAAGCAGGGAGCAGTCACACTGCGAATTCTCCTTGTGCGCCGAAACGGCGGTGCCGGGCATGTGACGGGAATTGGGGGGTTTCTACACTGGCAGTTGTACCGACTGCTGGACTTCATCAGAGATGAGGCACAAGGCTCTCAAATTCAATACAGAGTTGAGGGGTGGCAGTAAATTTAGACAGAACTCATCAAAATCTGAGTCTAATAAGAAGTCTAATAGTGTGTGTATTGTTTGGGTTTTTTTTTTCTTTCAGGTCGCTATTGAAGCATGACACGTAGAGGAATTCCTAGCTACAGCCTTTGAGTTGAAATTGCAAGTTCGTGGACAATATTTTTTATTGTCTCTTCTGTTTAAACAAGTGAACAGTGCCTAGTGAATAGGTGACTTTTACACCTTTTATGAAGACTACTTCTGTGATGTTAAATGCTGTTTCATTCTGCATATTTGTGTAGTTTGGTGCTTTGTTTCAAGTTGTGTTTGGAAAGGAGTATGTTTTGCATGTATTTTTTTAGTCTCCAATTTTGACTCCTGAAAGGTTTCTATTGTAAAGACAAACTGTTCAGTTAGTTTTTTCTACTGATTCCAAGGTATTCTGAAGATCAAAACCTGTGTAAAATGCTTTCAAAAAGTAAAAAAAAAAAAAAAATAAAATAAAAAGAAGTTTGGTTTTTCTCTTCCTACTTACTTTTGCTGAGTATAAGTTATGGGTTGAAAAGAGACCGCAACACTCGTGCGATGTGTTCTGGCGTAATGTTTAAAGCCCAGAAGTAAAATTAATCCTAATTCTGTGTTGCTGGGCAGTTGTTCTCTAAATGTAACACCTTCAGGTGTGTAAACCCGGTGCGTGGAGAAGTCCGTGTGCAAATTGTACAGCGGCAGGAGGAAGAAACCTCATTGAGCAGCACCGTACGCGTGGAGCGAGAGAGGCGGTAAACTCTCGATAATGCTGATGAGCTTTGAGGTGGGTGAGCTGTTGGCAGATTATCGCCTGTAACATGTTGACCTTTAAATAAGGAGAGGGCTTGTGTGGATGTAGGTAACCGTACACTTAGAGAAGGCAGTGAAATAACGTTTAGGCTGCTTTGATTCTTCTTATTTCTTTGCTGATGATTGTCCTTTCTTGTAAAGGGTACATCTTTAGCTGCATACGCGGCTAAAACACAGTGTAACTCTCAAACGCTGCTTTCCTACCGGTACAGTACCATTTTGCCTGCTCAGATTCCTGAACTTCATACACTTAGAGGAAAATTCTCTGCATGATTTGACAGTGCTTCTGTCAGTCTAGAACCTCCCTCGGCCTCATGCCCCAGCTCCAATGGTGACCGAGCATAGAGGACGTAGAAAACAAGAGCGGTGAGATGCTAGGCTACACCTGCTGCTGTTCTCTCGGCTTTTGAACACAACTTCCTGTGGTTTTTTTTCTCCTGTACAGCAATTTCCACATTTTTTTCATGGACTAAGAGCAGTTACAGGACCCTGTTGACCTTTATGTGATGATATTTTCCTGGATGGGAATGGGACAGACAACTGTTCTCCATGCATTTCTGTGCCCCTTCTCCTCCATCATCGGGTTTTACTGTGGGTTTCAGATCTAGTTACATCTTTGTATGGAGGTTCTCGGTAATTTTACTCTTAACTAGAATAATTTCCGATTCTGCTGTATGTTCTTTCAGAGGGGGGGTGGAAGGAAGGAGCAGGATGACATGCAGTGTTTCACAGGTTGGGGAGCCGTGGGTTTATGTGGTACCATAAGGCTGTTTTTCCTTTCTGAGCACCATCTCACGGTTGTCCTGCTTTGGTTCTCTTAAGTCCTACTGAGCTGAAGGTTTTCCTACAGACACTTCCAAGAGCTTGCAGCGGAGGATGAATGATCAGGAGCCGTCCCTTTCGTTAGAGACTTTATGAGCTGCTGCGCTGGCACTTGGCTGTAAAGAGATGTGCCACCAAAGCCACCGCAGCTTGGGATTTAAGTGGTAAGCCTGTTTTACCCCCAAATTTTTATTTAGTGGGAACTACAGAAATAGTCCTGTCAGCCTAACCAAAAAACCAGAGGTAATCTCAGGGCGAGTGCTGGCATACCCTTGAGCTACATCCCATTTCTTTCAGGAACAACTGGTCATTTGCTGTCCCGCGAAGGCTGAACTGTGCTTAAGCCTTTTCATTAAGTGCTTCTGAAGTCAGTTCCTCATTTTTAAAATCTGCACAGAATCATTCGGTTTGGTTTTCAGCTGTCGAGTTATTTATCCAATTTGAAAGTTCTGGGGTAAACACCACATGGTGTACTTGTCATACTTGCCTAGTAAATCTATGCAGTTGGATCTACAATCTAATTATTTTTTTAATATTAGGTTGGAGGAAAGATTCATTGAGCTTTTCCGTATCAGTTTACGGTGAGAATATTTATTTTTTATGTAGAAATACTGGTACACTCATTTCAGGGACTCAAAAAAATTGTGTTCTCTACTGATGTAGGGGAAAAAAAAAATGCATTTCCCCCTTTGCTCTCGGGAGCAAAGTTTGGCAAATTACATGTGATGGCACGAAGTGAGAGACTGAGGAAAGACTGAGCATCCCCAATCCCCGCGCCCAGTGTGAGCGTTCCGGGGCTGCTGTTCCCCTTTGTGGACGCGTGCGGGGCCGTTCCCAGGGATGGCAGAGCTGACCTTTCTCCTCCGCAGAGCGGGCGGTCTCATCGTTCTTTTGACCGCATTTTCTTAGTCACGGTCTTGGCCTTCCTTTTGAATCACTCGGTAGGGGTTGACAAACGCGGAGTCGAGAATGCGTGTTCCTTCCGTAAGCGTCTTTATGTTTTAGCAAAATCGGGATTTCGCAACTCCTGGTGCGGTTCCTGGCGGATGAGTTTGTCTGACAGCACTCTTGCTGCCAGAAGAGCATCCTCCCACCCCCTTCCCCACACGCTGGTACCCGCTACTTGTGGTCAGGCTGAGACCCGCGGGTGACAGCGTGCTTTTTATCCGCAAAGGGTACAAAAGGAGACGGGGGTGTTGTGTCGGCGGGAGGCGGCATGCCCAGCTGCACCCTAAAATCCACCTTAAAGCTGTCTCTAGAGTTTGGGAAAGCGTCGGCGCTACCTTACAGTGGGGGAGAGTCTTTTTTGTCTGGGTGTTTCCTGCCGCTGAATCACTCCCAAACGCTCAGCGGTCCAGAAAGAGCCCCTGGTCGGATGCTCCCACCCCCCACCCCGGCGTGTGTCATGTTGCCCCGTTACCGCGGGAGTGACGGATTGCTGTGGTATGCGATGATCTGAATCACTGCTGGACGCTCTGCCAGCGTGTTAACGCAGAAATCCATCGCAGGGGAGGGGTTCGGTACCCTGAAACCCCCCCCCTCCCCCCTCAATGCGGCAGGGGAGCATCCTCTGCCGCCGCGGCTGGCGAAGCAACATACGCTGGGGTGGGTGTGGGATTTTTTTCGCGCCCCCTTTCCCGAGGAGGAAAACAAAAAAAAAAAAAAAAAAAAAAAAAAAAACACTTTAAAAGCACGTGGTGGTGGTTGGGGAAAAAGGAAACCGGGCGATGTTTGTGCCGTTTGGCTGCTGGTCTCTTCCCCACCGCGTGCAGGTGGAGTCTCCTCCCGGTGGGTTTGTGCCTCTCCCAGCGTGAGAGATGCTCCGGTCCCTGCACGGCCCCTGAGGGGGTCCCCAAGAAGGGGTGACATAGCTGGAGGGAGGGTTGATATCATCAGGGGTAGTCGTGGTTTTGGTATATTCGGAAAAAGAACATTATTAAAGGTGGCTTTCAAATACAAATAAACTTGCAACTGGGATTTAAAAGCGTCTGGGGCCAGTGCGGCACTGAAGGGAACGGGGAACGAGGGGCTGTGACTGCCCTGGCATCCCCGGCACAAGCGACGCAGCTGCTTCCCACCTCCCTGCTGAGCCTCCCGAGTTCCTAAAAATCGGGTTTTCCCCCAGCAGCTCCTGAGCTCGGGTTTGAGCAATTTATTTCGTGGTTCCCGTTTGGGTGCCAGCAAATCAATCGCGTGAAAGGCAGGCGCTCCTGCTCCAACAGAGCCAAGAGGAGCTGATTTTATTTTTTTTTTTTCTTTTTCCTGATGGATATGGCTCCGTAGGGCTCACTTGGATGTCCGTCTCTGGCGCCTGGCCTGTGCTTGGTCACCTTGGTCCTCCAAGACGTCCCTACCTTCAGCGCATCCCTACCTGAGCAAGCAAAACGTTGAGGCTGTTGGGAAGGAGCTGATGGCGCATCACTACTGACGGTCTCTGTCCATCGTTAAAAACTTATGAGTTATTTTTTCAGTTGTGCTTAGCCCCTGTAGGGGTGTAATTAACGGAGAGCCAGTTATTAATTCAACTACCCGACCATGCTAGTTACCTTCCCAAGTTTTAAGGGTTGATGACCTGAAAGCTTCTGAAATTCTGTTTGTATTTAGAAGATTTCCACTCATCTCCAAGCAAGCGGTGAGCAAAACCTTTCCCCTGTGGCTTGCAAAGTACAGAAGAACCACCAAATCCTGAATTGGTGGGGTGATTTTTTGGGTTTTTTTTTTTCCCCACCAAATCCTGGCTTCTTTTTCTCGGCTGCACTGTTCATGATGGGCAGTCTCTCCCTCCTGAGGTGGGCTGCCTCAGCGCTGCTGACTGCAGCCGGTTCTGCGATGCTCTTCACTCCCCTCTGTCGCAGCTTCTAAAAGCCGAAAGCTGCTTTCCGGAAAGTTCATCAACATTTTATTAGACTTAAATTCCAGATCTCCGGAATTTACCTCCCCTCCTCTCCAGCCACCTCCAGCGCTCCCCTCATGCCTGGTGACAGTGGGAGATGGTTCCTGGAGGACGTCTCCCTTGGGATCATCCCGAGGTCCAGCTTGCTGCCTGCTCTTGCCAAAGTGTGCTGCAACCTCTGGAGCCCCTCTACTGATGGAAATGTGATGGCTTCACCAGCTCCTTCCCGCTGGCTGGAGGCAGGACCCACCTCCCCATTCCCAACACCCTCTGGGGATGGATGACCCGAGGAGGGATCTCAACAGGGATCCTTGTTAACAGGAGCCCAACCCTGAGTGCAGGGCCCAGTAAGACCAGTCCATCAGAAAAAGGTCTTGAAACCCGATGGATGTCGACCTGCCTGCTGGGGGCCATGCTTACCAAAGGCTGGGGAGAAAAGAGTTGTGGGCCAACCCAACCGTTCATCCCCAGCTTGGAAGGAACTCGGGAATGCCTCAGGGTTGGATGTGGTGGTCCCAGGTGTCTGTCCAACCTCTGGCCAAGGAATGGTACCACCTCCTCCTCTTCCCATGTCTGATCCACCAATCACTGAGGTGTGTTTTCACCTAATTTCTCCTGGTTTTTCCAAGCAGCCCTTCACACACACGCACAGAGGCCACTTATCTTCTCCTCCTTCAGACTAAACAAACCCTCCTTCAACTTTCCCTCGCTCTCATGTCTATTTGCTCTTTTTATCAGTCTCGCTGCCTCCCGGACTCGTTCTGTATCGGCATCTCTTTCCAGAGAGGAATGACCTCACTTGCACATCCCACCTGCAGGGCTGCCTGGAGAAAAGGACCTGACTTTCCTGCTGGATCCACCTTTGGGATCACTTTCCCCGGATGGTCGTGGCCTCGCCAGCTATTTTGTACCAGCGCTCTTAAATCTTCCTCCTCGAAGCACGTACTTCCCGTAACCATCTCATCCAGACCAAGACCGGTCCACCAAAACTCTGGGAAAGAGAATGTCAGTGCCATAGGGTTGGGAAAACATCTGAAGAAGGTGGTTGAGCTCCTTCTGCAGCGCCAAAAATCAGGAGCGGGAGGGATGAGATCAGGCAGGAGACTTCTATGGTACCTCCAACTCTTTTTTTTTACCTCCGCGTAAAGACCAAGCGACGACTCAGAAATGAATGTGGCAACCTGTGGGCGCTAATTACTCCAGAAACCTCGGGTTCCTCCTGCCGCATCCCAGTGGCAGTGACCTCACAGGATGGACCGGCACCTCCCTGCCCCGCTGTTTGCTGCGGAGGAATTAAGGCCTTGAAGGAGAGTAAGCTTTTTTTTCAGAAAAGGCCATTAGGGACACATTTCAGCCTAAAAAGCACCCAAAATGCTGGGGATGGAAGAGCACCCAGCCCCGCTGCCCGACGGCAGCCTGGGCAGGAGCTGCGCCCAAAGCGAAGGGCGAAGAAATCGGAGGAGAAAAGATTCTTCGCCCCTGCCAGAAACACGTTTTACCTTGCAGGATGAGTTAGGAGTTTCTGACTGTACTGCTTGATTTTATTTTCATGACTACTGTTTAGCAAATTGACCCCACGCCTCTCCTTCTTTTAGAGATGCAGTTTTACCTACAAGGCGGGACGGAGGGCGTTTCGTTGTCGTCCGTCTCCCCCCCCGCAGCTTAAATTTGGGGGAATTCGATCACTCCATCCTCCCCCCCTCTTCTCCAGGAGAGGACGACTGGCCCTAGGGCACAACACTCTGCTCCAAGGACACTTGTCCCCTCCCGTCAGCCTGTATTACTTCTGCACCTTATTTTAGTCACCGGTGACGGCCCCGACGTGCTTCCCTAAAGATTGGGGTTTGTATTCTCAAGA